TTGTTTGGCGGCCTGGGCTGGATTCGAACCCACCACCTTAGGTGTATGTGGCTGGCGCCTTAGCCACTTGAGCCACAGGTGCCAAGCCTTTGTTTTGTTTTTTGAGACAGAGTTTGATTCTGTTGCTCTCGGTATAGCGTCATAGCTCACAGCAACCTCAAATTCTTGGGCTTAAGCAATTCTCTTCCCTTAACCTCCCAAGTAGCTGGGACTGCAGATGCCCACCCCAACACCCGACTGTTTTTTTGTTGTAGTTGTCATTGTTGTTTAGCAGGCCCAGGCCGGTTCAAACACACCAGCCCCAGTGTATGTGGCCGGCACCTTAACAAGCTATGGGTGCCAAGCCATGGGTCAGTATGTTCTGTGGTAATTGATTTTCTTTCAGGTACAGACTGTACCTAAAAAGCAAGTCATTGCCAAGTCCCCAGTGAAAACAGCTGTCAGCTCTACCCAGAAGAGTTCCAGCAGTGAAGACTCCTCTAGTGAAGAGGAAGAGGATCATAAAAAACCCATAAAGAAAAAACCAGGTAGTGGACATGGGGAGTGAAACTGCGTGACTGTGACCAGGGACCTGTTGCCATAACCACATGGACCTCTCCATTTTGTTGCTTAGTGTCCTCATGACATGCCAGCTAGCTTCTCCCAAGGCTAGTGGTTCAAGATTACATGGAAGAAGCTGCAATTCCTTGTATAACCTAGACTGAGAAGTGACACCATGGTTTATTAGAAATGAGTCACTGGTTTTAGCCCACACTCAAGGGTAGGAGAGTTAAGCTCTTGTTTCTAGAAGTATCAGGAAGAATTTGTGCACATATTTTAAATTATTTGTACTTTTATTTTTTTGAGACTTAAGTCTCACTCTGTTACCCTGGGTAGAATACCCTGGCATCATAGCTCACAACCACCTCAAACTTCTGGGCTCAAGGAATCCTCTTACCTCAGCTTCCCAGGTAGCTGGGACTATAAGCCTACACCACCACACCTAGCTAATTTTCAATTTTTGTTTATTGAGACAGTCTCACTATGTTGCCCTCAGTAGAGTGCCCTGGCGTTACAGCTCACAGCAATCTCAAACTCTTGGGCTCAAGTGATTCTCTTGCCTTAGCCTCCCAAGCAGCTGGGACCACAGGCACCCACCATAACGCCTGGCTTTTTCTTTTTCTTTTTTTTTTTTTTTTTTTTTTAGAGTCAGAGTCTCACTTTGTTGCCCTCAGTAGAGTGCTGTGGCATCACAGCTCACAGCAACCTCCAGCTCTTGGGCTTAGAATGATTCTCTTGCCTCAGCCCCCTGAGCAGCTGGGATTTTTTTTTTTTGAGACAGAGCCTCAAGCTATCCCCCTGGGTAGAGTGCCGTGTCATCACACTCACAGCAACTTCCAACTCCTGGGCTCAAGCGACTCTCCTGCCTCAGCCTCCCAAGTAGCTGGGACTACAGGCACCCACTGCAGCGCCCGGCCATTTTTTGGTTGCAGCCGTCATTGTTGTTTGGCAGGCCCGGGCTGGGGATTCGAACCCGCCACCTTAGGTGTATGTGGCTGGCGCCTTAGCCGCTTGAGCCACAGGCGCCGAGCCAGCAGCTGGGATTACAGGTGCCTACCACAACACTGGATATTTTTTTATTGCAGTTTGGCCAGGGCAGGGTTTGAGCCCGCCACCTAAGTATATGGGGCTGGCTCTACTCACTGAGCCCCAGGCACCAGCACCTCCTCCTCCCCCACCCCCCCACCCCAGCCATTTATTTTTGGTTGTTGTAGTCTTTTCTGTTTAGCAGGCCTGGGCCGGGTTCTAATCTGCCATCCCCAGTATATGTGGCCGGTACTCTAACCTCTGTGCTATGGGTGCTGAGCCTAATTTTTCAATTTTTAGCAGAGATGGGGTCTCATTCTTGCTCAGGCTGGTCTGGAACTCTTGAGGTCAAGTGTTTTACCTACCTTGCCCTCCCACAGTGCTAGAATTATAGGCATAAGCCACCACTCCCAGCCTGTGCACTTACTTTAAAACCACCACTGTCTCTTTTAAATAGGTCCCTACAGTTCAGTCCCTCCACCTTCCACTCCCTCACTGAAGAAGTCCTTGGGAACTCAACCTTCCAAGAAAGCTATAGAAAAGAAACAGCCTGTGGAAAGCAGTGAAGAAAGCAGTGGTGAGTCTGGTGAGTCAGAGGGAAGCAATTTCTCCCTAAAATTCAGCCAGAGTGAGGGTATGAGGAATAAAGCAGAGAGGAATCATCTATCCTTCTTGGGTTTTGTTAAAGCTAAAAAGGCTAAGGCTTTGTATATCTCTTCAAGTTTTTTTTATTACTGTTATGGTTGGGTTGGGATTCTGGACCCAGGATAATGTCTTAAGTTCTCCCCAGATTCAAGTTCTGAGGAAGAAAAGAAACCACCAACTAAGGCAGTCGTCTCTAAAGCAGCCACCAAACCAGCTCCAGCAAAGAAGGCAGCAGAAAGTTCTTCAGACAGTTCAGGTAAGGCATATGGTGGCACTCAATTCAGTGGGATACTCTAGCCCTTGGATAGCAGCTAGAGGGCTCCCTGGAATCTGATTTGGGGAGCTGTTCATTCTGTCCCTTCTCTATCTAGACTCTGATAGCTCTGAGGATGAAACACCTTCCAAGCCAGTGAGCAACAAGAGTTCCTCAAGTAATAAGCTAGCCACTGCTACCAAGACACCTACAGCTAAGGCAGCTGCAGCTCCCAAACAATCTGTAGGCAGTGGCCAGAAGCCTTTTATAAGAAAGGCAGATAGCAGCTCCAGTGAGGAAGAGAGCAGTTCTAGTGAGGAGGAAAAGACAAAGAAGACTATGGCCACCCCGAAGTCCAAGGCGACTGCCAAAGCAACTCCATCTCTACCTGCCAAGCAGACTCCTCAGGGAAAGGACAGCAGCTCTGATTCAGACAGCTCCAGTAGTGAGGAGGAAGTGGAAGAGAAGACATCTAAATCCCCAGTTAAGAAGCCACAGAAGGTAGCAGGAGGTGTAGCTCCTTCTAAGCCAGCCACCACAAAGAAAGTAAAGGCTGAGAGCAGCACCAGTTCTTCATCTGATGATTCTAGTGAGGAGGAGGAAGAGAAGCCCAAGGGCAAGGGTACTCCAAGACCACAAGCCCTCAAGGCCAGTGGCACCACTGCACTGACTTCCCAAAATGGAAAAGCAGCCAAGGATGATAAGGAAGAAGAGGTAGAAGAAAAGAAAAAGACACCAGTGGCAGTTTCCAAGCTAGGTCTGTATCAAAGACTCTGCCCTCTGGGTTTTGTGCCCCTAAATCAGAATGGGATATATATACTTTTTGTGGTAGGGAGGGGAGAGGCCCACTAATAGGCTTCCAGTTGTAGACCCTTTGTGGGAACATGGGAGGGGGAACAGGAAACTCGTCTCCTGAGTCTGGCTTTTTGTATTTGTAGGTTCAGGCAAGAAACAAAAGCAGAATGAAGCTGCCAAGGAGGCAGAGACTCCTCAAGCCAAGAAGATAAAGCTCCAGACCCCTAACACATTTCCAAAGAGGAAGAAAGTAAATTGTCTCACTTCTCTGGAGTTGCCTTGTAATAGTAGAAAGAAAAATCTAGGGTCATTTTGACTGCTCTACCTGGCATGGCCTGGCACATGTATGTCACTTAGGAGAGCTGTTACATGACCATTTCATCCTTAATTTCCTACTTCATTCTTCTCTAGGGAGAAAAAAGGGCATCATCCCCATTCCGAAGGGTCAAGGAGGAGGAAGTTGAGGTGGATTCTCGAGTAGCAGACAACTCATTCGATGCCAAGGTGAGAGAGGGAAGATCTTTGCCATTCTTGGGGAGGAAGGATGGTGGAAGAGAGGGCAACTTTTGGTTCAGGTTGCCTCAATTCAGGGAGTAGAAAGAAGAAAGTGACAAGGCTCGGCGCCTATAGCTCAACCAGCTAAGGCGCCAGCCACATACACCCAAGGTGGCGGGTTCGAATCCCCAGCCCGGACCCGCCAAACAACGACGGCAGCAACCAAAAAAAATAGCCGGGCATTGTGGCGGCGCCTGTGGTCCCAGCTACTTGGGAGGCGGAGGCAAGAGACTCGCTTGAGCCCAGGAGTTGGAGGTTGCTGTGAGCTGTAATGCCACGGCACTCTACCCAGGGGGACAGCTTGAGGCTCTGTCTCAAAAAAAAAAAAAAAGAAGAAAGTGACAAAGCCCTTGTGTCTCTCTGTGTTAACCATCTCTTTTACTTACCAGCGAGGTGCAGCTGGAGACTGGGGGGAACGAGCCAATCAGGTTCTGAAGTTCACCAAGGGCAAATCCTTCCGGCATGAGAAAACCAAGAAGAAGCGAGGCAGCTACCGGGGAGGCTCCATCTCTGTCCAGGTCAATTCTGTTAAGTTTGACAGCGAATGACCTGGACCATCGGTTGTGACACAGGGGTGATCATTGGAGACCACTCATTCTCATAAGTGGATCTGGGAACCCTCAGTTCTGTTAGGGGAGGATATTGGTGAAGACAGAAGTTTAGGGTAGGTCCGAAGACTTTATAATACACCATCTCTGGTCCTTTTTTGTGTTCCTAGTTTTGTACAAATTTGTTTTTGAGTGTTGAATAGCAGGGACAAGGTAAGGGGATTGTTATTTTTTAACAAAATTTATTTTAGTTGTCCCCTTCTTCCTGTTCTGTGGAAGTACTCATACTGGGAAATTTGTATGTTTTATATTAAATCATTTTCTATTAATTTTTGTTGTGATTTTTAAAGGTGGATTCCCACAGAAAAAAAAAAATCTCAGCTATTAACCAAGACATAGTAAAGGGTCGATATGTATGACTTTATAGTTGGAGGAGATTCTGCCTTTGAGAGTGTACAAGTCCACATTTCATCTCTCCTTTCCTTAAGACCCTGTTGAAGGCCATTAAAGAATGATGATATTTGTGTATATGTTAAGCATGCACTCTGTAGTTAATCCTCATTCATTACGTCTGGAACTGAAGCCAGCATGGACCTACTTACTTTTTGGTAAAATTCACTGTTGTAGGCAAAATTCTGGTGTGTGAATGCTGTGGGTCAGTCTGTATATTTTTTTTGTAATTTTATCATTATTACATGATGTTTGCAATACATGTTTTTTAATTTGAAAGCAAACTTTTCTACTGTTGAAAGACATTTTCAATGACTTGACCCTTAACTAGTATTGAATTCTAAGTTAAGGACTGCATTTTTGCATTTTTTACATTATAGAAAGCAAAAATAACATTATTTAATTTAATCTGAAAAATACATCTCTCTTGGTATTTCTGTCATGGTAGCAATGGTGACTTAATTGGTTTCATTAATTTCTACGTGGTTGGGAATCACTGATCAAGAAAGTAGAAAAACAAAACTTGAAAATCTAAATTTTCAGAAGGCAGGTTACATCTGGTAAATTTATAGTAACAATAGGGGTGGGAGGAAACCTTTACAAAACATAATTATCTGAGACGCTTGAGTGAAGAGGGTTTGGGAGAACAACCTAGCAGGATTATTGTGTCTCATTGGTATATGGGAGCAGTTGATGCGCCCCTTCAGAACCTTAACTGTTAATAACCATGGAATTAACAGCATAAACCAGTGAGCAGTGGTATAGCTCCTAGGCCAAGCTAGCTGATGATAAGACTGTAAGAGGTGACCAGTGGCAGTGCTCAGGAACATTAAGATGGTTAGGGAAGAGTCAATAAGCTTTTGGAGGCTGGGCTGTCCCAGTGGTGGGAAAGTATCCCAGGCTGTCATGGATGAGCTCCTAAGATTAATCTCCTTGTTTGGATTCCAGACTCCCTAAGTGACCTGATGATAATCTGGTTTTTCATGTAACTGCCTCTAGGAAGAAAATTCACTGTTCATGCTGACATAGGTATTTCAGTCTGCATGGTAAAAGTTCTACATCTTAATAACAAAATAATAAACTGGCTGGTTTATAATGTGTCTTGTAAGTTTTATTGTGAGTCTAAACCCCTGCCACCTCCTATCCAAATCAGAACAACTTGGATGCCAGGTAGAGGGCCAGCAGTCCAGATGAGTGAGTTCTCTGCAGAGGCTTTCTTGGCTATACATTGTCTCAAGGTAGGTGCCTATGCATAGTGTAAATTGAGGCTGGGTAAAATGGTCCAGGGGCCAGAACCAGCCCATGGCTTATTTTTGTATTACCTTCAAGCTGAGAGTGGTCTTTTCTGGGTTTTAGTTTGGTTTTTTTGGTTGCTTTTTAGTTTTGAGACAGTCTCACTTTGTTGCCCTGAGTAAAGTACTGTGGTTTCATATCTCATAGCAACCTCAAACTCTTGGGCACTATTGACCCTCTTGCCTCAGCCTAAGTAGCAGGTGCATGCCACAAGGCCTGGTTTAACTATTTTTTTTTTTTTTTTGAGACAGAGCCTCAAGCTGTCCCCCTGGGTAGAGTGTCGTGGCATTACAGCTCACAGCAACCTCCGACTCCTGGGCTCAAGC